TTCTGACAAGTCACACAGCAGTGATGGTCAACCTGGCTGCAGAGACTTGTCATGCTCCTGCTTCTATACCTTGGTATCTTGTGGGTAAGCGCCTCCCTGAGCACAGGTGTGACCCCGTTGAGGAGGGAGGGGCTCACTCAAAACACACTCCCACGTGACCCCATGCCTATGAATGAAGCACTGACAGAATCAGCGCAGAGTGAAAAGGATTTTTTTCCGAGAATGATAGGTCATGAAAAGCTTAAAGTAGCAGAGAAGATTGTTGAATTGAATTGAGAGCTGGGTGTACCCCATATAAGATATCTCAACACCCCACCAAACTCTAAACTCTTGCCTGCCATTCTATTTGTGGGGGAGGGGGAGAAGTGACAGGCCACACCCAGCAGAGATCCAGGGGTCTGTTTGGCGCCAGCGATCGAAGGAGGGTTGGGAGCATGCTAAGCAAGCACCTTCACCCTGTCTTGTTTCTCCAGCATTTCTGAGGTATCCTTGCAGAATGGGATCTTAAAAGAAATGTTAGAAAAACCACAAAAGCTTGTCTGAGATGGGTTTGCTGGTCTCGTGAGGAGCAGAATCAAGACTACCAGCTACTGAATCCAAACATGGAACATTCTGGTCTGTTTGTGAAGGCGCCGGCATCTGAAGGGCCCCACACCTGAACACTGCAGAAGCTGAACATCCTGAAACCTCTCACCCCACGGAGTGCAGGAGATAGACCCCAAAACTGATGCTATACAGCACACAGGAACGTGAGGGTGAGAAGTGGTGACTCTTTACAGGAAGTCAGGGTGTGCAGACATCAGAGCTGGAGGGAAGGTTCTTAACTCAGGGTCCCAGAAGGTTTACCTCAAAGGAAATTCTGAATGAAAGTAGAGTATTGGAGAGAGCCGAAAGTAGGGTAATGGGCTGAGCAAATGTTTGCATGCAGGAGGCCTGGATTCCCTTCCCAGAACTATGTGGGCCCTTGAGCACTGAATGAGAGTAGCCCCTGAGCACTGACAAGTATGGCCCCTAAACAGAAAGCAAAACAAGAATTAAAATAGATGGGCATCTTATTTGTCTACCACACATCTGACAAAAGGTTAATATCCAAGATAAAGCACCCGTAAAACTTATAAAAAAAAAACACATAAAAAATCAGGGGGTGGGGCTGGAGAGATAGCACAGCAGGTAGGGCGTTTGCCTTGCATGCGGCCGACCCGGATTCGATTCCCAGCATCCTATATGGTCCCCTGAGTACCGCCAGGAGTAATTCCTAAGTGCAGAGCCAGGTGTAACCCCTGTGCATTGCCGGGTGTGACCCAAAAAGCAAAAAAAAAAAAAAAAAAAAAAAATCAGGGGGTGGGGGTGGGGCTGCAGGGAAGAGATGTACAAAAACTTCCTCAAAGAAGACATACAGGTGACTAAAAGGTTTATGAAAAAGTGCTGTGAGACCACAACACCCAAAAGGAGAGAGAGAACACAGGGGATTGCCCTGCCACAGAGACAGGGGGGATGGGGGGATGGGGGTGGGAGGGATATTATCCATGGTGGTGGAAAATGGGCACTGGTGGAGGGATGGGTATCTGATCATTGTATAATTGAAACCAAAGCACAAAAAATTGTAAATCTACAACTTTAAAAAAAATAAAATACAATAAAGGGAAAAAAAAAAAAAGAAAACATAACTCATTAAATTGTTATGCTATAGCTATTAACTGTCAAATAAAAAAAAAAGAAAGAAAAAGTGCTGTGCATCATTTATCAGGAAAACACAAAACAAAATAACCATGAGATATCACCTCTCACCAGTGAAACTGGAATACATCACAAAGAACAAAACAACCAGTGTAGGCAGGAATGGGGGATAAAGGGACCCTCATTCACTGCTGGTGGGAATATTGACTGGTCTAATGTTCTGGGAAACAATATGGACACTTCTCAAAATATTAGGAAGCGAGCTTCCATAATACCCAACAATTCTACTTCTTGGCATCTACCCCAATGGCTCAAAAACTATTCAAAAAATATACTTGCACTCCTATGTTCACTGAGCACTATTCACGATAGTCCAAATCTGGAAACTCCCCAAGTGTCCAAAAAAAAAAACAAGAAACTGGATAAAAAAAAACTATGGTACATTATATAGGTAAAGACAAAATCATGTATTTCTTGCTACGTAGATGGATCCAGAGATGAAGTCAGCCAGAAGAGGAACAGACACAGAATGATGTCTCATATGTGGGATATAAAGAATCAAAATAAGAAATGCTCAGAGGCAATAGAAGCTGAAAGCTTTTTTCAGTAGGAAGCTTGGCGGGAGTGGAGGGCCGACACTGGGACAATGGTAGAGGGAAGTGGATACTCTGGGGAAGCATGTGGTACTGGAATGTCATTAATAGTATTGTAAACCACAGAGCCTAAACTAAAAATAGATGGGCCTCATAAAAATCACTGGGGCAGGCCAGAGATATAGTGGAGTGGGGAAGGTGCTTGCCTTGCATTTAGCTGACCCAGGTCTGATCATGCAAATCCCATGTGTGCCCTGATCATTACCAGGAGTGAACCCTGAGCACTGACTGAGCCAGGAGTAAGCCCTGATCACTTACCACTTAAGAATAAAGCAGATGCACAAAACTAATACCCACGGACAGTAGAAACAAAGACAAGGAGGATTAATTTATAGTTGTAAGCCTGTCCCAATGCTGGGGGATAGAGAAAGAACCATTTTGACAAAGATAGTTGAAAATGATCACCCTGGATAAGAACTGCATGCAGAAAGTAGGTAAAGGAACAAACATGATAACCTCTTAGTATCTTATCTGTGTTGTAGACCATACTGGGAGAAGGAAGGCGGGAGAGAGAGAGGGAGGGAGAGAGAGAGAGGGAGAGAGGGAGAGAGACAGAGAGACAGAGAGAGAGAAAGAGAGAGGGAGAGAAAAAAGGAAAGTTCCAGTCTTCAGCTAGAGGCAGGCTGGGGGGTGGGGGTGGCAGGAGGGAAACTGGGTAATTGGTGGTGAGAAATGGACACTGGTGGAGGGATGAGTGTTGGATCTTTGTATGACTGAAACCTGATCATAAACAGCTTTGTAACTGTGTATCTTATGGTGACTCAATTAAAAAAAATGAAATGAAAATTTTAAAAAAAGATCAAAGAAAAGAATAAGGCAGATGCTCATCAACCCTCTTAGGATTTCTGTCTTGGTAGTTTGATTTAGAAGTCAAATGTTTTACACAACAAAGTCAGCAGTCAGCCATCAACCCTCCTTGAATCTCCTCAGAAACCATGTGCTCTAAGGAGCACAAGTCAGATCAAGAATGGTGGGAGTGGGCCTGGGTCCAGAGAGGAGATGCCTGAAAGCCTCCTTTCTAGGTCCAGGAAATTTTAGAGTGTTTGGGAGAGCCAGGGGTGGCGGGGGCTGGAGGGTGGGGGGAGCATTGCCCGTCCCTCCTGTGCTCCTACAAGACCCCAGGGGCACCCCTCAGTCCTGCTCCTCACCTACTAATAAGGATGTCACACCAGATACTTGAGTTTTAGGAGTCTTCTGTGGTCAGGGAGTCCTCCTGGGTTATGAAAACAGGTGACAATGGACACAATTAAAGAAGGAACTGCCTGCTCAAAGCTATAACAATTGGAAATCAAGGCAGAACCTAAAATACTCTGCTGCAATGGACAAAGTGTTTATTTGGCTTCAAAATGAATCCAAATGGCTTTGGATATTGTAATATATAACATAATGCAGGTCAGTGACCTTGTCATTTCCTTGGCCTTTACTATTTTATTAGTATTATTTGAAGGCTATGGGTCACCTGGCAGTGCTCAGGGCACCATAAGTGGTGCTGGAGATTGAAGTCAGGTCAACCTTATGTCTTATCTACCGTAGTATTTCTCTAGCCCCTTATTTTATTACTTTTTAAAATACTAAAATACTCAGGGGTGCAGTGTTCAAGGCCTGGAGGGTGCCTAGGGGTCACCAAAGTCATATCCAGGGTACTTGGGTACAGATGGGTTATGAAGTGCCAGGAATCCCACTATTAGCTTTGCACATGGCAAGCATAAGCTCCACAACTTGCACTATCCCCTATCTGTTCAGAGTTGACAAGAAAGTCTTAGAACACAAGGACCCAGTACTAAATGTGCTGCACTTGATGGGGCTGTTTTCCAGTTGGGCCTCGAGGGACAGAACTGAGGTCAAGAGGAACAGAAATCCAGGAAGGTTTAGCATTGGAAACAGAGACATGGGGCGCTTGTCCAAGGAAGGACAGCAAAGCTCAGACTAGGGAGGCACGAGAAAGCCCACTACTCAGCACTTCCCAGGTAGCCTGCAAGCACTGCCTGCCTCTGAGATTTCAGTGGCCGAGGCAGGAATGAAAGAGTCTCTTCATTTGGGGACACAGAACCTGTCCCCACAATACAAAACAAGCAGGCAGCCTCATGCATGGATTTCAATGGTTTTACAAAGCTCTACTGGCCAGGACTATAGCAAAATTCTCTACCTGAAGGAAATATTTGTTATTCCATTGCTGATTTTGCCAGAATTCCTCCCTTCTTCTGCCCCATCACTTCAGGATGCAGTGACAGGGCCAGAGAGATAGTACAACAGGTGAGTCCATGCATGTGGCTCTCTCAGGTTTGATCCCTGGCACTGCATATGGTCCTCAGAACCTGTCAGGAGATCCTTGCGCACAGAAGCTTGCCCTGAACATCACTGCATGTGGCTCAAATCCCGCCCCCTCCAAAAGCAAAAAAGATGTAGCAACAATCAACTTCTCGAGAATCCCTGACCAATTTTACAAAAGTAGACAAACTTTCTTCATCCCCTCTCAAGTGATAACCGACTCAATGTTTAAAACACCCAATCTATATCTCAGATCATTGCTGGGATTTCTGACAAATACACATTCCATTGTAATTAGATTGTCAACTACTTGAGGGTGAGTACTGGGCCTGATTGCTTGTTGCATGTGTTCCTTAGAGCAAACGTGACATTAAGCCACTGATGATTCATTCTCACTGGTAGCCACAGAGAATAACTGCACAAAAATCTCTCATTCTCTCTCCACCACAGGGCCCAGTGTGTGATGGCTGCAAACCATAAGCAGACGCCTTGGTAGTGAAGCAACTTCCATGGACCAGCTGTTCTAAGGACCTTGGAAACAGTCCTTTGCAGTGGACATTCCCATCTGCTCTCATACTAGCCCAGTGTTAGGCTACAAGCAGGAGTTCAGGACACCTTTAGAAAGCCCCAGGGCACAGGGGACGGGGCCCACATTGATCAAGTCATATGACCATCTGTGTCAATTGCAGAATGAGGCGCATGTGATTGAAGTTCTGTGTGGACCAAGTACAAATTTCCCCATGGCTAGAAGATCCACATCTCAAAAAAGTGGGGTTCCAAAAGTAGAGAGAGAGTATGGGGAAAATTGTCTGCCATGAAGGCAGGGGGAGGGTTAGAAAGGGGGGTATACTAGGGATATTGGTGGTGGAGAACGTGCACTGGTGGAGAGATGGGTATTTGATCATTGTATCATCAACTCAAACATGAAAGCTTATAACTGTATCTGATGATGATTCAATAAAAAATTTTTTTAATTGAGGTTAAAAATAAAATGTGGGGCTCTATCAAGTTTAATGCAGATGAGTTTGATGACATGGAGACTGAGAGGAGGCTCATCCCAGATGGCTGTGGGGTTAAATACATCCCAACTGTGGAACTCTTGCACATGGCAGACACTACCCCTTGAGTCCCTGTTCTCTTCACAATAAATATGCTTCTTAACAAGCCTTGCCGCCCTCAGAAAGCAGAAACTAAAGGCTTCGGAAAGATTGGTCACAGAAGTGTGAGAACAGTGTTCTGGTAACATGCCCTGGTAACATGCTTTCTGGATTCCCATTTTGGAGAGAATGATCTGCTTACATCCACTCAAGGGAAAAGCTGTCTTGGATTCACACATGTATAAAAACAATCGATTAGGCCTGTACCAAGATCTTTCTTTCTTCCACTGAGCTCTAAAATAAAAAGTAATTTAGTGGAAAATTTCCCCAATAGGAACTGTCATTGACTGAATGGCTGCCCCCAAAAGATATGCCTGCCTCAAACTGGTTGAAGATCACTTTAAATGAATCTGTTTTTTTTACAGATGCAATTAAGCTAAGGATCTCAAAATGAAGTCACCCTGGATTAAGTAGGTAGACTCTAACTTCAATGAGAAGTATTTAAAAAAATTTTTTTTTTAAAGTTTGGGTCACACATGGTGATGATCAGGGACTACTCCTGGTTTTACACTCAAGACTTACTCCTGGCAAGAGAGAGAGCAAAAGGGAATGCCCTGCCACAGAGGCGGGGTGGGGAGGAGGGGATGGGGTGGGGGTGGTGGGAGGGATGCTGGGAACATTGGTGGTGGAAAATGGGCACTGGTGGAGGGATGGGTACTCGATCATTGTATGACTGAAATGCAAGCACGAAATTTTGTAAGTCTGTAACTGTACCTCATGGTGATTCACTAATAAATTTTTTTTAAAGCTTCTTAACCCAAAGTCTTATAAATGTTAGTTTCAATAAATATATAAATGATTCAATTTTTTAAAAAAGACTCCTTGCAGTGCTCAGGAGTCTATATGGGTTGCAGGAAATCGAACCTGGGTCAGCAATATGCACGGCAAGATCTCTACCCTCTGTACTATGGCTCTGGCCTCTCCAGTGACAAGTACTCTTACAGGAAGAGGAGACAGAACCAGGGAAGACTCAGAAGAAGGCAGAGGTTGGTGTGACACAGTCACAAGCCAAGGAGTGTGGGAGTCCCAAGGAAGTGGGAGAGGATTCTTCTCTAGGTCCTTCACAGGGAACACTTCCCTGTGACACTTGACTTTAAGCTCCTGGCCTCTAAAACTGTGGGAGAATACATTTCTGTCATCAAAATGGGTACCTATTTGTTATTGCTGCCCTGGGGAGCAATGATCAAGGAGAGCCTGTGGGGTAGGTGCAAGAGTGAGGGCGAAGATGCTTCGACCCCAGATTTAGAGATACCAGCTCCTGCATCCACAAAGGAACAGCAAGGAGCCTCTTCCCAATCCTGAACAGCTTTGCCATTCTGCGGGTTTCTAGAAAACCTCTCACAGTGTCATCACATGCCCTGAGATGCTCATTGTTCAGGCTTTGGTTCTTACGAAGGTGGATTGGGGTTACCTTCCAATGAGCTAGGATTAGATGCTCTAGAAATGGAGATTCTTCCAAATGAGTGGGCGGCTTCCAAAGGCCTAGATTCCTTGTTCATTCCTCTACTTAACGAGCAGTGAGTGCATATCTATAAAGCCAGACAAACTGGGTAGTGGAACAAATTACAAAGAAGCTCAGTTTATCATCACTTTTGCACAGGGTTATCTGTGTCTAAAGATGCTAGTCAAATACACTATCACATGACTATGAAGCCAAGCTGTTTTAGTCTGCATCCTGGGAACTCTATTTTGAACCCATCTCTCATTTGTCCCCCCCTGACTAATACATATGCCAACTTGTACAATGTGTACCTGCCTGGCTGGTAAAATGTAAGGGGAAATACATTTTGGAACATTATCCCCCAAACACTGGAGCCCTCTTAATGGGATTGCTAAAAGCTCTTTGCCTAGGTCGACAATTCTTTTTCAAAGCTTCCTAACAAAGGGAGCCAGAAAAATATCACTGTCAAGTCTGGGGACATGAGTCATTTCCTCTTATTAAATGGACCGAGGTCACATAGGAAAACGTCTTTCTTTTTCAGAGCTGCAGAGCGAAGTCTTTTGGGGTGAAATGTCACCATGGCTGCAATTTACTTGTAATCACTTCAGCCCAAGACGATTCAATGACACCAAGGGGGCAGATTGTTTCTCATTAAATCTAGGTGATGGGACCATGCGCAACCCACGATTTTTGCTTTTTTTGTTTTGGAAGGAAAGGAAAGACAACGGGCACAGGTTTTTAGACCTCGAGGGCCACCTGTCCCTTTCAAGCGTCTCTCTGTGATTTTGGGTGTAGAGTACTGAGTTGCTCCATGAAGGAAGGTTTCTGTTGACAATTTGAAATGCTCAGAGGAGGTGGCTGATCGGAGGCATGCATGCTCAGCTCCTAACTGCTCTTGGGTTCTATTTATAGAAAAAGAAGAGGAGACACATTGATGGAGAGAAAAATGCAGAGTGCAAGATTAAAAAAAATATATTTCTATTTCTATTCTTTCGTACCAAAGCAGTGTGAGCACAGAAGCAGGAAAGCAAAGTGCCTGGGAGGGGAGGCAGTGCATCAGAGAAGGGTGTTTTTATGTTGTCTTTTTTTTTGTTGTTGTTAGGTCACAGACAGCTCGGCTGGCTGCTGGAAAACTGCGAGCAGGGCGTTTGGTCCAAGTGCTGCTAGAGTGTCGGTGGAATGTATTCCTCACCAGAGACACCCTGGGGCTGGGGGAACTGACTCAGGTGGCACCCTGACAGCCCCAACACACAAACACAGGCAGCAGGCAGGCAGGGAGGGGTGGAGAGGGGGACTCACAGTTCCGAGTACAAGAAGTGCAGGTTGCCCACATTGTCTATGTAGTTGGCAGGACTGAGCCAAGGCAGGACCAGCAAGAGAAGCGCCTTCATTTTCTGAGCGGGGTGCTGCTTGCTTCCGGCCACCTTCTCGGTGTCAGCTGCGGGGGCCCGGCTCAGCCCCTCTTACACAGAGAACATGCCATGTCTCCAAGTCGCTGGATCCCTAAGAGCGAGCCACGCTGCCCAGTCCCGGGCTGGTCCTCACAGCATCGTGCCCAGCTGCAGGGAGAGCTCCACCATGCTTGGCAACAGCACTGAGGCTGTGAGCGAGCAGGCTGATGCCCGGGAAAGGGACCTGCCCCCTCCTGCCCGATGCCGACTGGTTCTCAGGGAGCAGCTGGTACATTTACATCACTGGCCGGGAGCAGATGGGCTGGCAGCTACACTGTGTTGGAAGAGGGCATGAGCATGGCACATTCAGACCCCCACGGTGTGAAAGAGCAAATTGATGCAGAGCTGTCCTCTGGGCTGGTGAGAGGAAGGCTCCATCAGAGACCAGAGTCTTGGGAAGGCAGCAGACAGATGGGGGCTCCAAGGCGCCTTACAGACAGTGGAAGCCAGGCGGGTTCAATCTGTCCTGGTGCTGCCACTCAGTGCAGAAGAGAATGTGAGTTTAAGATCGCTTCCCTGTCACCAACCTCACTGTGCTGGCAGCTCCTGGGAAAGCCACGGCTGCCTGGCTCACTTTGCAGACTGATGAAGAGGCAGCAAGGCTCTCCTGGACAATCACAGAGAGCTGTCGTCCAGATGGGCCCAAAAGCTGCACAGGTACCTATTGTGTGACAAGGGCGTCATCCATCTGCCCTACCGAGGTGAATTAAACTCCAATCCCAGCTGTCGGACCCTGGAGAATTCAGTTATGCTCCGAGCATCCAGAAGTGCATCTTCAAAATAGATCTACTGTAACTTTATCTTTCTGGTTTTTCAGGGGCTGGACATGCACCATTCCGGCTTTCAGAGCTGTGAATCTAGACTGTACCGACTATTTACATCAGACTTCCTCTTTTGCTTTTTTGGTCCACACTCACACTCAGGGCTTACTCCTGGGTCTGTGCTCAGGGATCACTCCTGGTGGGGCTCAGAACACCAAATATGGTGCTAGGGATCAAATCAAAGTCCATCTCCATGCAAGGCAAATGCCCTTCTTGCTGTTTTATCATTCTGGTCCGCTAGGACTTTTTGTTTGTTTTTTGCTTACGTGTGTTCCTAGTGCCACAGAAGTCTCAAGAATTGTCCCCCTTTAATCCACGAACACTGAAAAATCAGTTTCACCAAATGGCTTAAAGGGACAGTTCCATGAGACAACTGAGCAATTTCAGTTATCTACTCTAAATGGAAAAAAGACCAGAATAAAGTCTGTGGGCTGAGACTGAGTGTGTTGAACCATGTAGTAAGTAGGAATTTGGCATTTGCAATCCCTATTTACCTGAGGCATTGCTAAGGGAGTTTCAATACTGTGCGGCCTTAGAATGTGCTGATTTAATTTCCACCATTTGGACCCAAGATCCGTAACTTTGATAAAACATGATTTATAATTTGGTTGCAGCTTAATTTGAATTCCATTTCCTTTAACCCCAGTATGCAAGAATGAGTCAGACCTGGGAGAGCAGTCAGAGGAAGTCAGGTTTGGAATTTAAAGCCAAAAAACAAAGCTTGCACTTTCGCAATATGCCGGGTCACACTGGCATATTGTCTAACTTCTCTGCATTTCTGTATCCTCCTCTAGTCAAGAAAGACAGGAACTGCTGGGCAAGAGCACACAGCTGGCAGGTGCAAGGCCCTGCATTTAGTCCCCAGCATCACGTGGACTCCTGGGCACCACCCAGTAAAGCCTGGTGGCCCCTAGCACTGGGGACCCCGTTTTCTCCAAAGAAAGACAATAATAATAATAATGCTCAACTTGGATAGTTGTTATGAAGGTGGAATAAGATATCCATGAAGAGCAGTGTGCTCTCTGAGCACTAACTATGGTTGTTATTATTATTATTAATAATAACTACTAATGTTCATGGATGAATTCACTGCCTAGTTGGCAGCTCTCTCCAAAAGGTTTGCTTTCTCTGTCCTTTCTTTCCTCTTGCACTGCTAAGGGAATAGATGTAAGAGTCTTTTCTGAACACGGAATTGCACAGAATTCTAGGACCAATTCTTTTTGAATGCTCAGAACCTGCCTGGAAGGATGTTACTTATTAGCAGTATGATGAAATAAAGGTTTGGGCTTTGGAATGGTACTGGATTACATTTCTGATCATCAGGTTGTTTCTCCAGATCTCTGAAAAAAAGTAGGATGTCTTCCTTTCCACCTTCTATTTCAAGAGGATTAAATTCAATAACCAGTATAATTGTAGTATGAAAATGAAGGGGCTTGGGGGCTTTGTTTTTGCAAAATAGCTCATTGCCTATTCAGTATCTAATCTCCAGTTCTTTTTAAAAGAGTCTCATTCTTTCCATAGTGGGAAACTCCTTCAGCCCCTTCAACTCCTTCAACTCCTTCACAAGTGGGTAACCATGTAATGCAAGCCCGGCCAATGAAATATCAGCAAAAATTACTGGGTGAGATATCCCTGAAGCACTTGAGAGGAGGGAGTTTCAGTCTGTACACTGTATGTTACCCTTCCTGCCTGGTTCCTACCCAGTTCTTCTGCCAGGATGTTAGATATAATGCTGGAGTTTGATCAGCGGTCCTGAGGCCATGAGATAACAAGCTTGAAGGTGAGGGATAAACTAAAAGGCAGGAGGAGTCTAGATTCCTGATAGCATCATGCTAGTCCAGACTTCCTACTTTCATACTTTGTATTAAATGAGAAAAACAAAACTTTTACCCAGCTAAACAAATAAAACCTGAATTTCTATTACCTGGGTTATAATCCAAACTAGCACAATACATTGGGGATAAATATTACTTTCAATTGGTAACAGAATGCTCTGTAATTTCTATGTCAGAAAATAGTCCTAACCCTACATAGGCTCTGCCTCTTTAAATACTACTTATGCTCAAATGTCATATCAGCCTTTTCTCTGTCTCTTTTTGAAAACTAGACTTAAAGAAGTTCAACTGCCCTTATTCTCCATTGTATCCTCACCATAGTGTCTGAAATATAGTAGATGCGCAATAAATATTTGTGAATAGGGAGAATTCAACTCTAAAGAGTCAGTACTTCAGACCACACTTTGTTGATCAGAAAAAAATTAGTCAAAAGAGAAAGACTTTAAACTTAACAAGAATGACTTGGAAAGAATTGAACATTTAAGCCCACATTCAAAATCCAATGCCATGTCAGCTCTCTAGATTCTTGACCAAGTCTACAAGGAGATGCAAGCCAAGGCATTAAAATTTATTTGGTACACTGGTCTCCTGGCTGAAAACTCTGGGGGCACCCTCTCGAGGGGATGGGTTTCCACCCTGCTGAAACCCTGGCAGCTGGACCCACACCCAATAGTTGCTGCCATTGCAGAGATACCAGCCTGCAAAAATTGCAGGTACACTAGTCTTCAGGCTGAGAACTCTGGGATCTTCTCAGAGTGGGGATGGACAGCCTCTCCCTCTCCCAAGCTTCCCCCTCCTCCTCGTACTTCCAGAACCCCTGGAAGCAGTGGCCACATCTCACAGCCACCACCATGTTAACTCATCGGCCAACATCTACAGATCCTGAAATTCTGGACCAAGCAGCCACATACATAGCTGTGCAACACCTCCAAATACTACAATATTTACATCCCAGTAAGAGCACACAAAATGAGAGAGAGAGAGAGAGAGAGAGAGAGAGAGAGAGAGAGAGAGAGAGAAGGGGAGGGAAGGGGAGGGAAGGGGAAGGGAGAGGAGGGGAGGAGAGGAGAGAAGAGGAGAGGAGAGGAGAGGAGAGGAGAGGAGAGGAGAGGAGAGGAGAGGAGAGGAGAGAAAAAGAAGGAAAGTGCCTGCCATAGAGACAGGCGGGGTTGTGGGGGATGGTGGGAAGGAAACTGGGGGTGGGGGTGTGAACATTGGTGGTGGGAAATGTACACTGGTGGAGGAATGGGTGCTGGAACATTGTATGACTGAAACCCGACCATGAACAGCTTTGTAACTGTGTATCTTATAGTTAATTCAATCAAAAAAATTTAGAAAAGTAGCATAGAAATCAAATAAACTCAACAAACTAAAACAGTAACACAGAAGGCTCAACTAGCAGAAAACAGTTTAGTAAATCTTCAGACAAGGACTTAATGATGAGATATAAAAATTTTTACAATTTTTCTTTCACTGAACTGATTTTGATTACTCCCCTAACCATATAATTGTTACAAGTAATAATAAATAAAGTATTGTGTACCTGTTAAGGGAGCAGGCTGGGAGGTTGGTTGGGAGAAAGGAGACAATGGTGGAGGGAAGGTCACTCTAGTGGTGAGATTGGTGTTGGAATACTGAATGCCCATAACAAGCAGATTATGAAAAACTTTGTAAAACATGATGTTTAGATAAAGTGAAAAGCAAAACAAAAAATGAATTGAGCATTTAAGTAGATGGATAATAAATATCCACAAAGAAAGGGAAAAATTAAAAACAATTCCTGGGAATGAATGTCCCAGAGAAATGAGGGCCGATTGAAGAATTGCGGGGAATCTGACATGATGGAAAAACAATGGTTCTCTCAGAACAAAATGCAGAAAAGTTGCCTCATGTCTTCCATGCCTAGAGGGACTCAGCTAGGCAGTTGAATTCAGGGCTAGAAAGTCTTATGAAAGACGGCTGTTAGAGCACAATTGTTGTGGAGGAGACATTTAGCCAGACTGCAATAACCAAGATTGGCAACTCACATTTTCAAGTTAATACTCCCCAGACTTTCACTGTGGCGGTAAGAGAATAGCCCACAGACACCGTGCCGAGCCTGTTATACAGAACACACCCGAAAAAAGGGCATATGACAGAAAGAGAGGTCAATTGAGGCTCCTGGGGCAGTCTTGGGCAAGGAAACTCCCAGGACATGGAGTACAAAGGTCATCAACAATAGTCCCAGAGAACCTTCAGTCAGGTATGTCTTGGGTCAGTTCCACCAGATTTTTCATTCATGGCTGTGTTCAGAACAGTGAAGAGGGCTCTCTTTGCACAGTAAATGCTCAGGAAGAGTCAACAGTATTATCTCCCATTTTTATTATCTTCCATAAGAGAGAAACTAAAGG